ATAATAATAATAATAATAATAATAATAATAATAATAATAATAATAATAGGCTAATTTCCCCTGTCATCTGTGTTTCAGCATAATTGCGGCTTTAATCCAGAGCGCTCGCGCGTCACCTGAGCTGGCGGACTGGCTGGGCTCCAGGGGCCTCGCGCCTCTGCTGTGCTGCAGGTGGACGTCCTGTCCGTCTGACAGCACCGTCTCCAGGAAAGCAGGTTGGCCGTAAAACGACGGAATTCCACCGGGGCCAATTAATCCCACCCCGACACCCACGCCGACTGTAGCGGGGCCCAACACCGATCTTGCGGCAATCAGGTGCGCCCCGGCGGGCAGCGAGCTGAGCGGGCTCCTCGGTGTGGTCTGCGGCTCTTTATTCAGCCCCAGGATCTCCTGGATGCCGAAGCTGGTGCACCTGTTCGCGGTCGGTGGATGGTTGATGCTGCTTTTCGGCTGGTGGCTGTTGTTCCCTGCATTTGCACCCAAAGAGGTTTTCTCTGAGCGATTTAAACTTTCCGAAAGCAACGCGCCCTGTTTCCCCGTCATCGTGGTTTAGATGGCCCCTTTGAAAATATATTTCTTGTTATGTCGCCTCACAGGAGGGCTCCTCGTACATGATCCTCGCTGTTCCACACAGTCGTTTAGAAAATGCTCCTTTTATCCAACAGGTCCATCCCAACGAGAGGCTGCGCCCTGCAGCCAATCAGCTGCCAGTATTCAGGATTCCAGTGGATCATGGATGTTTTACGCCCTCTCCAACACATCTCTGCCTTTTGGAGGACAGATGCCTCCGCATATAACATTTACAAGAAAAATCTATTGTACATTTTTAGGCAATATCAACTGAAATATACTCTATTTAATTGTGTCTATCTTTAAAACATAAATAAAAAACAGGAAAAAAATTACAGATTAAATAGATCCGACTATCTCTTTAAAAGCTGAATCAAACCCTCCCCATGAAATCCCCACATCTTTGAAACGGTGCAGGTTTATAGAAAATTACCCCAATCTTTAAATCTGCATGCACAGCCTTTCAGGGAAGGCATTACGCACACATGTAAACACACAGATGGATCCAGCTATGATCTCTGCCCAACCACCGGCTCACCATGGATGGATAATTGATCTCCAGATGCTCCAGGAAACTCATCATCATCGCGAATCAAAGCCCCCCCAAAACAGGACAGCTGGAGGACATGGTCTCCATCCTGCACCGCGTTAATCCCACAGCAGCAGCAGCAGCCAGGTTCATTATTATTATTCTGTTATTTTAATTATTATTATATATTTTACGCAGATTAAATGTTTAAAATTAGAGAAATAAATAGTACTAAAAATGAAGCCTTGGACATAAACATAACAATAAAAAGAAATAAAAGAAAATTGTAGGGAAATTTGTAGGGAAATTGTAAGAAAATTGTATAAAACCCCGAACTCAACGCTATTCCAGACATTTTGAATTGAAAAAGCCTCCTGGATGGGAAAAGAAACGTCTCTAAACTTGGAAACAATATCCAGTGAAATGTTTTTAATTGTCTTTTT